CATCTAAACACTGCAGGACAGCAGAGGACTGGAGTTTGACACCCCTGTCATTGTGAATGACAACCTGAGACCAACAGGTTAAAGACACGGGTCGATAGCAGCTCACGCGGCTGCGTAGTGTCCGTCTCTAGGCAACAGCGTCGCTCCGTAGCGTTCAGGGGTCCTTCAGTTCCTGCCATGAGAATTTAGCTGACCTTAATATTTCCTGTGTTTTATTTTGGTCATGATTGTGTCATTATTGTGTTGATATGTTTGTGATGGGCGTGTCTATCAGACATTTATAGAAATACAGAACAAATCCCGTCCCGTATCGGTTCAATATGGTTCCGGTAACTAAATGAAACCTTCTTAGAGCAGCGCGCCACAGCAAAGGGAAAATAACTCAGAAAAACCGTCAAAGAACAACTCAAAACCACTCGTATCCTCCTCCCCCCACTTTCCGTGTCGGCTAGCTACACGCAGACTTGTTGCCATAGCAACAAACAGCTCCTCTATATGTATGAGGATCCAACACCATAAAACCCACAAACGTTTCCAGGCTTGATGTTTATTTGGGTTATAACATGATCTGAACACAGCGGTGGCTGATTAGCTCGTTTAACAGCTGCTCTGATCGATGATCTGGCAGAGTTGGTGTGTTGGTACCGAAACACCGAATTTCGCTGCACATGGACGTTTATTTATTTAAACTTTTCAATGACCTGTGAAATATGATACCTTGAACCTTATCGAGTTGTCTTGGTGTTGACAATTAGTAGCAAACTAATATTCTATTGAGAATAAAACAGCGGCTTGTGAAACTGGAATGTCTTTGGATTTTACTGATATTTTATAAAAAACAAATATCCTGAGTCTTATGGATTTAGGATAAGCCCTGAAAATAGTGCTTCCTGTTTTTAACGTGAGGTTTTGGTCAAGATAAAGTCACAGTTAGACCGTCAGTAAGTGGGATAAAGTTTTAGAAGAGCCGTCATCTTACATGGGTCAGTGAACCGATCGCAGCTTTCTCTCAGATCATAGATTTTCAATCTATAACAAGTTTGACCTGCTGATTTTGATTTTAGCCAGTGCCATTTTTTTGATTGAAATGTCGCTAAATATAGGAAAAAAGTTTGAGTTGGTAACTGTGGGGTCACTATTGATAACGACCAGCTTGCAGCCGGTCTGTCAGTCCAAGCTCTCACTGCAGAGCAGCTGATTTTTAGACCTTTGCTGAGGAAGATAAGATCAGAGGATGAGATCGGCTTCATGTAAATATCCACTGATCACCCATCTCCCAAAATTGAGGAAATCGGCACAAAATTGGCTTGATTTTGTGTTGGTAATAAACATATTGTGGAGGTACTAAAAAAGGAGGTAAAAAGTAGTGAATTCAACTCTGAGATCCTGTATAAACCCTGTGGATCCTCCGGTTCAGGACCAGGACTCCTGGTCGGGTTCGTCAGGAGAAACGGCAGCGGCTTCGCCCAGGAAGACGCCTCAGCTTTCATTCTGAGAGTTTGCACTGCGGAGAAAATCTGAAGCAGTTCAGATGGATAAAGTCACCATAGATCAGATGCATCACCATAGAAATGTTTGCGTTTATGTTGCAAACTTTCATACATTGTCCATCGTAATACCTGTGCGTAAATCTTCACAGTGTTTTTTTCTGTACGCCACCATGGACAGATGTCCAGCCGAATGGTTCCTGCAGGTTAACCCTGACGTGTTTTTCCCAGCTGGAGCATCTCCAGGTTCTGCTGGACCAGGAGAAACTGACCAATCAGGACATGGAGACTCTGGGGGAGGAGCTCCTGAAGGAGAAACAGAGTCTGGAGCGAGAGATTCACGCTCTGCGGGCCGACAAGGACCGCCAGGTACGTCTGCCTCTCCGCCTCGTCCCATCATTTACCCCCCCAGCCCCCTCACCGTCTCGTCCAATCAGATCTCGGAGCTGCAGAGCGAGCAGCAACACCTGTCGGAGGCGGTGAAGGCCCTCCAGGAGCGCGCTCAGTCCAGCAGCGAGGTCCGAGTCCGGGAGGCGGAAGCCAAGAACCGCCTGCTGCACCAGAGCGTCACAGACGCTGGCTCGCGGCTGGCCAGCCTGGAGGCGCAGCTGAAGGTGGTGAGCGAGGAGGCGGAGTCTCTGAGGGAGAGGGCGGGGCGCTGCGAGGAGGCACAGAGGGAGGCGGCCCGTCTGGAGCGGAGCAGGGAGGCTCTGACTCGAGAGGTAGGCACCGGGATCTGTGCTGGTTCTCGGTCCGGATGCAATCGACTCATCCCCTCTCTGCCTCCAGGTGGCGACGCTGCGCTCCTGCAGCCAGCATGCTGAGGCCCTAGAGAGGCAGGTGACCTCCCTGCAGCAGGAGGCGCTCCGCCTGAGACGCGAGGCCGAGGAGGCCCAGAAGGAGCTGCAGCGGCTGGCCCAGCAGGAGGCGCAGAACAGCCTGCTGTCCACGGAGAACCTGGAGCTCCGCCGCTCCATGGAGAACCTGCGCTCCTCCTCCGCCCGCCTGCCCACACTGCAGGAAGAGCTGCAGGAGGCACAGAGGGAGACCCAGGAGGCCCAGAAGAGTCTGGAGGAGGCCCGGGAGGAGGCGCAGGGACAGAGGAAAAGGGCGGAAAGGCTGGAGCTGAACCTGTTGGCTCTGAATCAGGAGAAACAGCAACTACAGGAGCAGCTGGAGAGGAGCAGGGAGGAGAAGCTCGAGGCGGACGGGAGGGTCAGGGAGAACCGGAGAAGGGAGGAGGAGCTGAGCCGGGAGGTGGAGGACCTGAAGGAGGAGCGCAGAAGAAGAGAGGAGGCAGAAGAGGAAAGGAGGAAGCTTCAGTCAGATCTGGAACAGGCAGAGAGGAGCCGCAAGCAGCTGGAGAAGGAGAACCTGAGAGTCCGAACACTGCAGGAGGCCAAGGAGCTGGAGCTGGAGGAGACCTCCAATCTGGCCTCCACCTCTCTGAAGGAGGCCGCCACCCTGAGGAGGGAGCTGGAGAGGCTGGAGGAGGTGTCGGCTAAAGCCAAGGAGCTAGAGCGGGAGAACAAGGAGCTGCAGAAGGAGGCTACCATCGACAAGAAGACCCTGGACACCCTGAGGGAGGTCAGGAGGAGACGGAGGATTCCTCTGGAAACAACGGGCAGGAGGAGGCGCTCTGACCTCTGACCTTCTCTCTGCAGGAGCTGGTGTCTGAGAAGCTGAAGGCCCAGCAGCAGAACCTGGAGCTGGAGAGAATCGACGAGGAGCTGGAGAGGATTGGACTGAGCCGGGAGACGCTGCTGCAGCAGGAGCACACACTGGAGGACAGGTAGGACAGGAGGACAGGAGGAAAGGGAGGACAGGTAGTAAAGGGAGGACAGGAGGAAAGGGAGGACAGGAGGAAAGGGGGAAAGGGAGGAAAGGAGGACAGGGAGACAAGGAGGAAAGGGAGGACAGGTAGGACAGGAGGAAAGGGAGGACAGGTAGTAAAGGGAGGACAGGGGGACCACAGCACTCCTTCCTGTCCAGGTCTCGATGGTCCAAAGCGGCAGGAGTTACAGCTGAAGGCTGACTGTAAATCTGAACCAGTTCTGACTAGCATCTTTACTCTGACGTTCCCTCATCGTTCCCTCATTCTCTCTCTGTCCCCTGGATTCCCACAGGTGGCCGGACCTGAACCTCCATCAGAGCCTGAAGGAGGAGATCGGCGGCCTGGAGAGGAAGCTGGAGGAGAGCAACGCCCTGAACGAGTCCCTGCGCCGCCAACTGACCACCGTAGGTCCACACAAAGTTCTGACTCGGATCAGATGGTTCTGACCCGAATCAGATGGTTCTGACCTGGTCCTGCCGGTTCCTGTGTTTCAGCAGCAGAAGGACAGCTCCCAGCATGCCTCGGTGCGCGGTGCTGCTCCTGAGCTGCTGCGCTTCCAGGATCATCTGATCGCCGTGGAGAAGAGCGTAAGCCTCCCTGATCCTCCATCTGCTGGTTCTGGTTCTGGTTCTGATTGGTGGTTTCCTGCAGAACGCCTCCCTGCAGACGGAGAGCAGCTTGCTGAAAGAGCAGCTGAAGCAGCTGGAGAGCCAGAACAGTTCCCTCAACAGCCAGATGGCGGCGCTGCAGCGCCACGCCTCCACCCTGCAGGAGCACAACGCTGGCCTGCACACCCAGACCGCCAAGCTGCAGGTGCTGCTGCGCCGCCGCAGGTCCCACAGGGGGCGCTGCGAGTCTCCTGGGGGTCACCTGTCTCACCCCCTGTCCTCCTGTTTCTCAGGTGGACATCTCAGCCGTGTCCTCGCAGAGTGCCTCCCTCATGGCCCAGAATGCCGTGCTGCAGGGCCAGGTAGGCGCCCTGGAGGCCGAGGCCGAGTCGTGGCAGCGGCAGCGCGATGAGGCGTGGCGCGCCCGCAAGAACGCGCTCGCCGACCACGAGCGCCTGCTGAGCGTGCACGAGAGGCAGGCGCACGAGTACGAGCAGCTGATCAGCCAGCACGCAGCGCTGAAGGGCCAGCAGAGGGCGCTGGAGGGCGAGCACCGGGCGCTGCACAGCAAGTGAGTCCTCCTGGCGTCGCACACCTCCAAGTTGCGCAGGAGGAAGAGTTGGGCTGCTTCTGGATGTTTTTTCTGATTATTTCTGACGACTAGAAGAGGAAACGATCCGTCACCTTCGAGTCCAACAGGAAGGAAATCGATCTTTCCCGTCTCGGCAGCTGGTCCAATCCGGAACCGGAACCTCTCCATCAGCAGATAATAAAATATTTCAATCTTAGACTTTACTTCCTCCCCCCAGCAGCTTGTTGCCCCCTGGTGGCCGGAGTCAGTCCGTAGGTCCATGCACAGCTACAGGATGGGGGATGGTTCTTGTGAACAGAACCTGACCCCACCCGGTTCACTGATCCAGGTGTTTCTGCAGGTACCAGGCTCTGCTGCAGCTGAAGGACCGGTGGGAGGAGCAGCAGGAAGCGCAGCAGCTGAAGCAGGAGGTCCAGAAGAACCGACTCCTCCAGCAGGAGAACCTGGAGCTGAAGTCTGAAGTGGACCGGTAAGAGAACCAGAACAGACCCTGCTGGTTCTGGATGCTGTGCTGGGTCAGCCAGAAGCCGGGCCTCGCTGCCCGGGTCTGGACCGGTCCAGAACACTGAGGGAGTCAGTTTATTCCTGTAGCGTCTCTTCCAAAAAAGTTCAGCTAATTTTTCCAATTAGCTTAAAAAGTTTCTAGATGAAGAAACTCGTCCTGCACCAGCAGGGGGGACAGAGGACACCAACATGGCCGCTAAAGGATTAAAATCTGAAAGAGAGGAGGTCCAAACTGAACAACCAGAGGTTTTAGTGAGTAGGTTCAGAACCGGGTCAGAACAGAGGAGGAAGGAAAACGGTTCATGGTTTTATCTGCTGACCAGAACCAGCCTGGTCCGGGTCGTTTCTCCTCAGAGTGTCTCTCCTCGTCTGCCCAGACTGACCCAGAACCAGGACCAGCATGCAGAGCACAACCAGAACCTCCAGCAGCGGCTTAACGAGCTGAAGAACTCGTTAAGCTCGGCTCAGCAGGAAGTGAGCCAGTGGACGGCCCGGTACGACTCGCTGATGGACCAGAACCAGAACCTGGACCTCTCCATGACCAAACTGAACAACCACTGTGAGGTGAGGTACCAGTTATGAGCTGGGTCGGGTCAGAACCCAGGCCAAAACCCATCCAGGGTTAATCTGCAGAGGGCCTACAGACAGTAACAGTGGGCCTGGTTCTGGTTCTGGTTGTGCAGCTGCTGAGCCGCCTGAAGGGGAACCTGGAGGAGGAGAACCACCACCTGCTGAGCCAGATCCACCTACTGGGTCAGCAGAACCAGACCCTGCTGGAGCGCAGCCTGGAGAGCAAGGAGCAGTTCCACCAGGAGCACAAGCTCTACATGTGAGTCGGACCGGAACCGGGACAGGCCGGAACCGGGACCAGAACCTCTGTCTGACCTCTGTCTGACCTCTGTGTCCTCAGAGACAAGCTGAACGCGCTGCGGCGGCAGAAGGAGAAGCTGGAGGAGAAGATCATGGACCAGTACAAGTTCTACGACCCGACACCCAAAAAGTAGCGGCGCTGCTGATTCTGGAGGGTTCTGGTCCAGCCCGGTTCTGATGTTGGGTCTGTGTGTTTCAGGAGGAGTCAGTGGTCCGGAGCCAGAGCTCTGGTTAAGCTCATCAAGCCCAGGAAGGAGAACGGCCGAGACCAGGACCAGAACCGGGAGCGGGCCCGAAGCGCTCCGGACATCCCCCTACCGTCCACGCCCCCCCCGATTCCCCCGGAGGCCCCGCCGCCCGCCCCCCACCGCACAGGAAGTGACTCGCTCAGTAACCATAGCAACCGGAGGAGCAGCCCGGGCCGGACCGCCCCCCCCAGCCGAGGTGAGCCCGCTCCCCCAGAACCGGAACCTGCAGTCTGTCCCCTGCTGGACAAGCAGCAGCTGCTGCAGGTTATTGTTGCCGTGGAAACGGTTAGGGTTACGGTTTCTGTTGGGTTCTGGTGGTTCTGAGCCCAGCAGAACCAACATCTTTGTATTAAAAGATGTTAAGCTGACAGGAAATGTAGACTGAACAAAAATATAAGAGTTTTATGAACATTTGGGTTACACAATATATACAGAAACTAAAACTGTATTTTCAGTAATTACTGATGTTCATGTCGGCATTGATAACATTGTGGTTCGGCCGTTTGTAGCAGATTGACAGTCATGATAGGAATTTGATTTTGGCCCTGTTGGCTTCCCGTAGGCGGTTGTGATGCGTCTGTGGTTCAGACCAATAGTCTGAGCCGATCCTCAGATGGACGAGCCGATGTGGCGATGAGGATGTGCAGTAGGAAATCAACTCTTTAATGGCCGATGACACTTTTATTTTCTTTAAAGGTTTTATTGGCTCTAGTGGCCTTTATTTTAAAGTAGTTTGACAGGAAAAGGGTAGTGAGAGAGGGAAGACATGCAGCAAATGTCGCCAGGCTGGGAATTGAACCTGCGACCATCGCCACAAGGACTATGGCCTCAATACATGGGTCGTGCGCCACCACAGCAACCCCACCGATGACACTTTTAATGCAACTGTATTTACCGAATGAAACTTCTTGACAACAGTCATAAACATTCATAAAACCTTCCTCATGTCCATAACAGGTGTTATGTCATGTTTATGACAGTGTCATGTCGGCCTTAAGCACACCAATCAGATAAAGTGATACATCAATTATTTGCACTTCTGTTTAAGCAAAATGCCGTCTAAACCAGGGGTGTCAAACTCAATTTCACCGAGGGCCACTTCAGCATATTGGTCCCCCTCAAAGGGCCACATTGA